AAATCAACATTGAGATTTCTTCTTGCAAGTCTGATGGTATAACTTCATTGTCATCCTCTATAAGCTGCTCATCATCTAATGGCACATTATTGCATATTAACAAATCTTCATCATCTTCTAAAAAATTTTGCTTCAAATTTTTCTCTATTAACTAAAGAGTTCATCCTTAAAGTATTCAAATCTTAAAGTATTCAAATGATTTCTCCTTTAGTATGAACTTGATCATATGTACTCTAATTTTGCTCACATCTGAAGAGCATGTAAGATCTAGTACTTTAATAGCAAATCGTGAGTGTCATATATAATTCAACTAATTTTGAAAAAAATTAAAATAACATATAAATTTGTTAGAACATAAACCGGTAAATGTTAAAATTTACCTAGGGAGCATTTTGCAAATGATGTCTTTGGTTTCTTGTAAATCATAGATTCATTTCTTATTTTTGAAATGCTACAAGTTAAAGATTGACCTTTGCCCTCTCAGTTAGGTTAGCTATCAATCTATCCATATAGTGGCACAACTGAAATTTGATCTCAAAATTGGCTGACTTGACATTGCATATTAAAATTGAGGATTAAGAAAATATCATGTGCCATGCAAATGATGACAAAACTAAAGCTCTCACTTCTCATTATTATGTCCCAAATTCTTTGCAACTAAGCTATCTCCTCCTAAAATAAGTGCAATCAACTCCTTAGCCTCATCCATTGCATTATAAATGAAACTCATCACTAGTATTTTTCTCCGCATCAACCATTATTAAAACTGGAACTAAGGTCTTGGTTGTTGTTACAACACAACTCACAATTACCCAATACCTATCATTCAAAACAATTTGTTAACTTCTTTGTCTTCAAGTTTCTTAACCTTGGCACAATTTAACTATTGTGTAGAGGTGAAGATAGCCTCCAAAATTTTCCTAGTTTCTAAGATGCTTTATAGAGTCAAGTAGATCATAACAAATTCAACTATAAGTTGTTTTTAAGAAAACTTTCTCATCAAACAAAAAATCAAAAAAATTATTGTAGATAAACTTCCTAATCTTCTTTGCTTTGCATAAGGCATTCCTGTGCTAAGTCAACTATCCAGGTTATTCAAGAATCAAATCTATGCAATACACTATATATGGAGACCGATACATATGCTTTCTCTTCTCAATCAACTTATCTCCTACCCCCTTATAAGCGCTACCATTCTTAGTAACAACTTGCACCACTAAGTGCTCTTCAATCTCCTTTATTGCCATCAATAAATTCAAAATTTTACTCTGAATCCTTTACCTGATTTAATGCTTCAAGAGCTTTCAAAAAATTAGTGTTGTAAATATTGTTAATTAAAATGTGAATCAAGCTTCTATTTTTAATGTAAGGCAACCATCAAAGATGATAATAACACAATATGTGTCCAAGTTCTTTTGAACCTCTCAATGGCTTTCTCGATACTATTCAATTCCTCCTTTAATATCCAAATTTTGAGTTTAAATATAGATGAAGGCTTAACACCTCGACTATAGGAACCTATAGAGCATATTATGTTGACAAAAGATGATGAACTTGCAGCATTAAATGAAATAGCAATTCCATAAAATAATCTTCCAATGTCGACACAGACATACTTACAAGTCTCTCTAGCATTTTGATAAGACATTTGGTGGGCTGCCCTCCCTCCGTTATCCTTAACATCCTCCACATTTATGATTTAACATGTATTGTTTTATAGGTCCTCTTACACCTCTAATTGATATTTGTGGCAAAGCAGATGCAGAATAATTGTGCCCATACCTTAATAAGATCCATTATATACTCATTATTAAATTGTCATTGTGTTGAAGACTTTGACATAGTGGTTTTGTTCATGTAAATATGAATCTCTTCTTCCACATCCTCAAACACTTTGGCACACAATGCACTATTTGTATGATAACAATGAAGTCATGTCATTATGATTATACCACCTTTAATGGTATTACCATATTAGTTACACTTCAAACAAATAAATCTCTTCTCAGTCCCTGCAATTTCCACTTGCACACTATATTTCCATATTGGGTGTCTTCCGCATTTGTTGCACTTTTGTGCTTTTCTCTTTACAGGCTCTAACCATTTTAGAAAACTCAAAAAATGATAATTTCAATTAAAAAAAGTGTTTAAAAAAGGAAACCATAAACAAAAAAAATTTAAAATTTTAGGCTTAGAAAAAAAAGTCTATTATTATCAGCAAGATTGCAAGAAGAGAAATGATGGAGGAACAAATGTTGTGAAGGAAGAAAGCTTGGCAACGAGGAGGCAGCGATGACACTCCAACACCTTGGCGGCGTGTGTAAGGCCTCATCATGAGGATAGATGAGAGGGCTTGTGTGCAGGTTGGAGTTGGCTTTTGGAGAGGAAGTGAGAGACTGATGATTTAGAATGCTTCATAGGATTAGTAAATAGAATTTTAATTTATTAACTTTTTTCCAAATGTCAAAACCATGATTTCTTTAAGCCATACACCACAACCAAATAGCTCAGAGGTTTGCACCCCATCAAAGCTCCCATGAGGCGCACACCTCATAGAAAAGAAAAAAAAAAGCACTAAGGCACACCTAGAGAAAAAAGGATAAAAGCATTCAGACAATGCCTTGAAACACATCTCAATTTTAAATAATACTTGTAACCACTTCAATCACCTCTATTTTCATCTATGAAATATGTCTCCATAATGGGCTTCCCAAAAACATTATTTCCACCCACGATCATATTTCGTTGAGCTCCTTATTACCCATGTTGTTTAAGGAGCTTGGAACTAAATTACACTTCAATTCATTGCATCAACTGAAGACTGATGGTCAAATAAAAGGTAACGAATAGCAGACTGGAACAATACCTTCAATGTTATGTTATGGACACACCAAAATACTAGCCAAAAGATATCTCTTGGGCAAAACACTTATAAAACACCACTCAACTATTAGAATAACTCCTTATCAAGCACTTTGTGGGTGACAACCTCTAAGACAACCAAATCTTGGGTGACTATTGAGACCCCGAAAGTCCATGCAAAACTCGTTGAAAGAGACCAAATACTCTGCATGTGAAATGATAACCTTGCACAACCACAATCATGCATGAAGCAACAAGCTGATCATCACGATCACGATGTTGATCAAAACTCAATCACCAACATTGCAGCCACATTAAAATACTAGAGAAATTTGAAGTTGTATTTTGTTGACTAGACTTACCATCTTATTTATGCCTACAACTAGTCTTCCAAATTTCATTATTAAAAACATACAAAGAAAAGATAACCCAAAATTTTACTAAATTGCGGCCCTATCACCAAATTTCCTTATGGCAAGAGCAAAACTCAAAACTCAATCACCAATATTTCAGTCACATTAAACTACTAAAGAAAATGGAAGTTGTATTTTGTTGACTAGACTTACCATCTTATTTATGCCTACATCTACCCTCCACAATTCATTATTAAAAACATACAAAGAATAGATAACCCAACATATTACTAAATTGCAGCACTATCGCCAAATTTCCTTATTGCAAGAGCAAAACTCAAAATTCAATCACCAATATTTCAGCCACATTAAAATACGAGAGAAAAGTGAAGTTTTATTTTGTTGACTAGACTTACCATCTTATTTATGCCTACATCTATCCTCCACAATTCATTATTCAAAACATACAAAGGAAACATAAACCAACATCTTACTAAATTGCGCTCAACTCCTAGAATGATCACATGATATTGCAAGTTTGCAACCTTCTCACATATTGCAATCACGCTAAATTTTCAAAGATGACGGAGTTCACACGCAACATCTTATTCATTGGGATAGGCTACCAATGGAGGTTACTTGGCTTCACAACAATGTCGGATGTTTTCCGTTTTTACATCTCAGCCTTGAGGACAAGATCGTTCTTGAGAATTCTATGGGAATTGATACAAAGCACATGGAAGATAGCCCAAATTGCATTCAACAACAATCAAAAAGGCAGCTAACATTACCTAGCTAACAAACCACGAAGGGAGAGATAAAAACCACCATGGCTCTAAGAATTTCACCTGGTAGATAGATGAGGTGAAGGTGAATAATGCGTAATAAAATCAAGTCCCTCAATATTTAATCGATGCTATTGGGTGTCTTATTTTTGTTTGTTGATGTTGTTAAAATTTTTAGGAAATGTGGAACACTTTCATCCTTATGCAATGATGGGGACTGTAATCATTATTGGGGATTTGGTATAAGTGGTTAAAGGCCCTCTTGTAAAGGTTTCAATGAAGATCCAAAACCAATTTTCTTTAGTTTTCTCCTTTGTCCATTTTCTTCTCTGTTTCTTTGATGAAGTTTACATCTAATCTTCTTATCTGCGTTTCGTCTATTCATTCCCTACCATCTGGAGTTGTCAGCGGGATTTAGTAAATCACCATTAATAACGATCAGAATGCAACACACAGATCCAATGGGAAACTATCCTACTGTAAGATGAGCAGGAGAAGGCTAGAAGCAGCACCCAATTTTTTTAATACAATTCCTACTTAAGCTCCACCATAAAATGGAAGTCAAACAAGAAATCAACCATTGACCAAAACAAATACTTAGGAAACACCATAAACATATTAAGTAAAGTGAATTGCCAAAAAAAAAAACCCGAGATAATATCCAACCATACATAAAGGGAAAAATTGTGCATATTTCTAATTATAGACATAAACCAAAAGAATAAAGAGATTAAAAATAGAAAGAAAGTTAATCCATTTCTCAACTTCCCCGATCCATGAGCTGATTTGCTGAATAATAGGAACGTAGATCAACCCAAAAAGAAGGGAAGCCCTATGACGAAAGTCTTAACGTGATAAGGAAACAAGATAAGGGGTCAAATTTCAGAGGATCACAAAACCCATAGAGAAAAGAAGAGAAGATATTTTTATTCACGAAACCAGGTCACAGTCGCCGGGATCTGCCTATGGAAGGCGTAACAGAGAGAGGACCGGTACGTACCTTCTCTTCTATCTCCGACCGACGATTGACAACTGTCGACGCCTCCTCGTGCTCCGGACGATGATGAGGTCCCAGCGGCAAAGATGACATGTGAACCTTACCTAAACAACCTCACCCTCTTCCCTTCCTGGTTTTGTCTTCCCTTGCCCGTTCCAAATATGCCCAAAGGTCGCGTAAAATAGTACTCGAAGGCAACCATAAGAAAGAAACTATGGGATGCATCTTGGTTGAGAATTAGGTTATTAACTAAGAAATTTTGGGTTCTAAATTTTATGTATTTGGTGTGTGTATGAGTTTGCCTCAATTAATTTAAATGTTTCAAAAGAAATCATTAATTGTTGAGAAATTATTTGTACAGACGGGCTCAAAAATTTTGATTTTATTTAAAATATATATATTTATCGCACTTACAAATAAATTGAACCAAAATTATTTAAACCTCAGCAAATACAAGAAAATCCAATGGAATTTAGCTAAATTTTCATCAATTAGAGGGCACACATTATTGAAGGTATTAATAAGGCTAGTAATGTGAGAAGGAATCTTAATAAAAGTTCATTGGCAAAGATATTTATGTTGCAATATAGGAGTTCAATTTTATGCTTTGATGATTATAAATATTATTAGATAAATCGTTTATTATTCATTATTTATATATTAGATATTTTTCTTGTATGTCACTGACGATTTCAGAAATAACATACACCGAATAGCATTGAAAAATCAAGATAGCGCAGGGTTAGTGTATATTTGGGAGACTTTGTACTTTTTTTTAATCATTATTTGCATTAGGTTTCTATTGGCTAAAAATCGTGCGCACACACACAAGATGGAGTAAAATTTAATATTTGAATTTTTTTAATTAATCGTGTTATATGATCTTTTCAAACAGAAATTAGTTTTAAATATTTAATTATATGAGATTAATAAAATTGGATTATAACTAATAGTATTGTACTATCAAAAATCGTATAGGACTAGTTATTTTGATAAAATCTCGGCGTCTAATCTATGTTACTTAAATTAGGCAAATTAGAATCTTGAAATTTGAACTAATCGTATTGTACAATCGAGTTCATAGTGTATGATTATTAATTAAAGTTGTATAGTTTAATCTCATAGATTAAGAAATTAAATCAGGATCTAATCATCATTAATGATCATACAATCTAATCCACTCGAGATTTTAATGGATGAATCTTGGTTCATCTTAGACGATCTGTGATTCGATATAATTAATCTTAGTGGACGATTGTGCATCATATGGGACGATTTTCAATGGAACTGAACTAATTGTACTATACGATATGTGAATCGTATTATATTATTAAAGGCTGAAATTTCAAAATTAAGATTTTTTAAGATACCACTATATAAACTCATCATATGTTGTTTTCTTCTTGGGAGAGAGCTTTGGACCACTTCACAAGGGAGAGAGATAAGTTGACGTTGAGAAAGACAGTTTTCCTTAAGGGAGTCAAAGGGTCTGAGAGGATTTCATATGATTGCTCAAGCTAGCCTGCACCTTAGGTCCTCTTATTATGTTTGGTGGAGCTCTTGGAGAAGAGTTCTAGGAAATAAAGTCTTTTGGTCAAAGACTTGCTAACCAAGGAGGCTAGGGATCGGAATCTCCATTGGGTCAAGAGGAAAAAGGAGGGATCGACATCTTTAATGGGCCGGGAGGTGAAATGAGGGATCGGCATCTCTATCGGGCCGAATGGCAGAAGGAGGGATGGCATCTCTGTTGTAGTAAAGAGTTGAAGGAGGGAGCGGCCTCTTCGCTATAGTGAGGAGCTAAAGGAGGAATAGCATTTATACCAGGCCAAGAGGTGGAAGGAGAGAGATTTTTTTGAGTCAATAAATGTCATTCTCTATTTGGTAAAGGAGAATGGCTTCTCTGTCTAGCTGTGGACTAAAAAAGAGTCACTAGTAATGTAATATCCAATAAGATGGACCTTTGAGGAGTGCATGTAGTTTAATTTCAACTAAACCACTATAAATTTTATTTGTGTACTATTTACTTTCTTCTAATTTATTTTCCTATACTTTAGGTTACTTTTGTTTATTTTTGTGAAAATTTTTTGGGTGATAAATCTCTTATTGAAATATTGTCGTGAAATAAAAAACAAAAATTATATTTATTTTCTAAAAATTTAAAAATAAAATATTATTCTCTTTGGTTTCTGTTTGAATTTTTTATTTTCTTAAATGCTTTTGTAGATCTCTTTTTTAATATTAAGCAAAAGATTTTTAAAATACCAAATACCCCCCCCCCCCCCCCCCCCCCTCCCCCGCACCCCCCCACTCCCCCCCCCCCCATGCATGGAATACTATAAGCACTTTTTAAGTGGTATCAGAGATGAGTTTTCACTTTTAGGTTTAAACTGCTTAAGTATATCCACATACACACTTTCATAATCGTAACACTTTGAAGGGTATTATATTACCTAACCACCACTTTTTATAACATTCCTTTAGATTTTTGGATAATATGTAAGTCCACTTTTCTGTAATCGATAGATCTTCGTATGTAGTATATGATACTAATTGACTATGTTTTACTGTTTAGAATTGTAAATATAGTTGAAATAGATATTCATTTTACTGAATAGTCCATAGAAGATCATGATTTAGTGTAATTTAATTCCTTTTTTTGTGCTTTAAAAACCAAGGATTATATATGCGTTTCAACTTTTACTAGTGGTAAAATTATTTGGGATAGACTTTACATAACATATGAATGAATTAGTGAAGTGAAACAATTACACATCAATTTATTGTTGTACGATTACAAACTTTTTCCGCATGCAATATTATTAATCAATTTCTGACATGTATATCAAGTTTACAAAAATCATTACATGCTTTGGATAGAAAAGTTCCTAGCTCTTAAAAAGTTAATAAAATCTTACGTTGTTTACCTGAATCTTGGGATGAAAAAGTTACTATGATTATTGAATCAAAAGATTTAAATTCTTATTCTATTGATAATTTACTTTGCTCCTTGATTGCTTACGAGCAAAATGTGAGTCAAAGACATATAGATGTTGGTGAATGGAAAAAAGGAGAAGGCAATTGTATTGAATGTTGACAATATGGATTGTTTTTAGTTAAGTTCATATGAAAATGAAGAGATATCACTAATGACTAGATAATTCAATTTTTTCCTAAAACGCTAGTAGAAGCGCCACTTTGACAAATAATGAGATAAGAACACAAAGTCAAATAAGTTTTATACCAATGTTGTTCGCTATGAATGCAAAAAAACAAGCCATATCCAATCTAAATACCCAAACATCGAGAGTCGAATGAAGGAAAAAAGGCAATGTGATGAAGGGAAGCAAAAAATTTCAGAAGGCTTTTTGAAATTCTTATTCATACTCATCAAAGACAAAAGCTGAGAAGGATGTAACCAATTTATGTCTCATGACAAAAAGTTGCATTGGTGACTCAGACAGCAAAATATTGCACGATTCCTATAAAAAAATTAATAAAGCAGCATTCACATTTTCTTGTATGAATACCCCATCGTACTGTACAAATGACATGACAATAATTATTCGATAAATTTCAATTTATTTGGAATGAACCTTAATAATATATTATATTATATGAACACTTGTTCTTATTGGATGATTTATTCAGCCAACAGTCATATAGTTGACTGATTAGAATAAAAGATAAAAATCATATTGTACGATTCTTGATCATACTGAATGATTTGACCAAGTCTTGATACAAGTCAGACATAATGATTAGGATTCTTTTATTTGTGTTATATGATGTAGATTATACTATATGATATGAATGGGTCTTTAAATAGAGGTAAATTTATTCATTTTAAACACACACCTCTTTATTCTATACCTTCCTTCCCTTGAGTCCTTGTCCTTAATACTCTCGATGGCTAGCAAGAGAGTCTGACTTCTCCTAATGAATTTTGGTCGATCCTAGGTTGACAATTTATTACAATCAACAGATGATGAATATTGACCTTACTTTTGCCTAAGGTCAATCAAACACTCAAACCCTAAATCAAAACCAATTGGCTCAGTACAATGTTCTATATAGTACACTAACTCCTTAACTTCAATCATTATTTAAATTTCACCATTAGGAGCTTCGTACATAATGTCTATCAATATTGGTTTCCTAACCATTGCTTGACCCATTTGACTCAATTGAGCTAGCTCAACATAGTCCAATTGATTAAACATCTTGATGTATTTAATTATAAATCCCAATTCACATCTGAACTTTACCAAATCATTTTAATATAACTCCTCATGGATTGAGCATGCTTGGCCAACCTACCCAATCAATAGTTGACTTTGTTAACTCCACCTTAAGTTGGTCAAACCCATCTGATTTTGGTTAAGCATCCAATTACCAACTAATCAAATCCATCAAACCCTTAAATCCAAATCTCTTTATATTTTTTATGAGTTAAGATTAAGAGTTTAATAAAGGATGTTAAGCCTACATGAACTGTCCTTAGGCACACCAAGAGGGGGGTGAATTAGTGAATTTAAAAACTAATTCCTTACTTCAAAATACAACACTTATATTTTTTATTTTTTCAGTAATTAAAAAAATAACTATTCTTAATGTGAAAGTGAATAATTTTATCAAAAAGTTATAATAATAATGATGATATTTTAATCAATAGAATGAAGCATTAATAACTAATTTTTACCAAGAAATTATTATAAAAATAAAATGCAAAAAATAAGAAATCAAAATTAGCACACCATAATTTTATAGTGGTTCGGTCAAACAGTGAACTACGTCCACTCCCCAGAGTCATCCTCTCTAAGTAATGCACTAAACTTTATTGTCTCTCCTTTAGCCCCCACAGCTAAGTGAAGAAACCCTTACAATCTTTTCACTAACCCGGTGCTGCATAGAACATTGACCTCCTTTCTAACCTTCCAAGTGACAACAGAGAACTATGACCTCTTTTCTCACCCTCCTGGTGATGATAGAGAACCAATAACTCCTTTCTCACCCTCTTGGTAATGGTAGAGAACCACGACCTCCTTTCTCACCATCCTGGTGATGGCAAAGAACAACGACTTTGAGCTGTAGAACTTCTTCCCAAAGACACCTAAGAAATCTTGACAAACACTTGGAGGAAATAAGGCA